GATATGTTTTGAATTGAAAACAAGACAAGTGCAATACCATGGGTAATACTATCAGCATCGGAAAGCGCACAGCAGAAACCTCCACAAATAATAAAATATCATTCTTAAAATGTTAATCTAATGCAGGTGTTTTTACACCCCCACCGACATAATTTAGATCATCTGCGAGTCGGAATATCATTCTATATTAGCATACTGCAAGCACTTAGTCAGAGTTGGCAACTATTTGAGTACTATACCTTCAGCAGTTTCTCTCCCGTCTCATCCAACTTGACTCCAACACCGAACTCATCACGCCGAATGTTCTCCACAATCTCGCAACACACCTCTTCCCGCGTGCGCTCCCTGACCTCGGGCTCTGCAGCTGTTGGGTTTTCCTCTTTGCCACTATCCATCTGTCCATCCTCCATGCCAGTCTGAGAGGCGTCCCTGGAGGCATTGACAGGGATAGATTCTTCCTCCCCTTTCTTCGCTTCTGACTCACCATTTTCCTCAGCTTTTTCTGAGAAAAAAAAAAACACATCCTTGCAATGACTGTTTTCATCTTGAAACAATATTTACCAAATGTACACAAAAACTGCATCTGAACCCAGACAAAATCATTATTAATGGTTTAAATATGTGTTTAGTTTTAGCTTAAGTTTTTAATGCACTTGCAACACAAATTGGTTGTATAAGTCCCAAAGATTAGATGTGTTACAAGCGAATAACATACAAAGAAGAAAAAGAGGAGAGATAAGGATGATAGATGTTTGATAGGGAAGAAAGAGCCACCAAAATGTTCAAGATGACCACTCATTGTAAAGGAGAAAAGTGGTTGTCTTAAACTCTGTCATTAAAAGTAGAAAAAAAAACAGGGAAGTGAGTAGTGGTCATTTGTACAGTCAACTGTCATAGACAGATGGCCATTAGAACAGGTTTGGCAGTACATCACGGGAAGAACTGCAGAAAAATGAAATCCCTGGAAAAATAAAGAATTGCTCTCAATAAGTTAAATTAATTACCTTTTTCTTTTTCCTCATCCTCATCTTCTGTGTCTTCTTCCTCATCGTCCTCTTGCTCCTCCTCCTCATCATCATCATCATCTTCACTATCCTCCTCATCTTCCCCGGAAGCTTCCTTTCCTTGATCCATTTTCTGTCCTTCAACAATTTTAGAGCCTTCTTGAAGTTGACTGCTTTCTCCCACTTCACTACCATCACTTGACAAGATTTCATCAATATCAGATTCCTCTTCCTCTTCATCGTCATCATCATTATCATCATCCTGAGAAGAAAAAAAAATATACAGATAAAACATGGAAGATGTAAGTATCAAACACTGCTCCAGTTCAAAGCTCTACAAGACTAAAATATGTCAATTCAGTATGAAAAGCTCTAAGACAGGTGGCAACAGTAAATAAATAAAAACAAAAGAGAAACAGATAGATGATGGCAGATTATTCACCAAAAAAATATCATTCAAGACATGTGCTTTTCCACCATTAGGGCAGGCAGCTCAGCTAGCCACTTAGCAGAGTGTCCGTTTGTTATCCCAGAATTCAATGGGGGTTCCTCATTTGCCTCAGGGACTGCAATCTTGAAAAACAGTAGAATTAAACAAAGACTCATTCTAACATTTTCAAGAAGACCAAATCTTTTAACAAATACAAGGAATAAATGTAAACTCACAAAGTCAGGTCAACAAACAGTCATGTCAACGGCTCAGTCTTAGACTCCATCATACATCACTTTACAAAACGGCATATGGCGGAGTCTTACACTGAGCAATCCATATGTAGTCCGTATTTTCTTATATCAAAGAACACTCAAACTTCTATGTATTCCTTAGGACCTTCTAAGAAAATGATAAGTACCCGACATTTCTTCCACAATTTTGAAGACACTGCCAGGAAGCAAGGTGTTAATAATTCTACAGTCCTAATTCCTGTTCAGTACTAAATTAATGGCTAGTTTCCAGCAATTAATATCTAGTATTCTAAATAACAAGTATATTAAACAACGTTCAGTGTGGAATAAAAAGTCAATTTATGTTCATAGTTGAGAATAAAAAAGTCTCGTTTCTAACGATTAATGTTCAGTATTTTGAATAAAAAGTCTAAAGTCCAACAATCAATCCCCAATGTTGTGAATAAAATGTCTAATTTCTAACAATTAATATTCAGTGCTATAAAGTGATAAGTCCAGACTCCATCAATTAACTCTCACTGCTAAAAAAAGAAGACCATGTGGAACCTGGAGAAGAGTCACTGAAATGGATGTACAAAAAAGTGGGAAGACATGGAGTGACATCAAGCGACTAGCCCAGAAGAGGGAAAGGTGGAAAGGGTTTATTCGTGGCCTGTATCCTCATCCAGGGTGAGAGAGGCAATGATGATGATGATGCCACCAAAAGAAAAAGCTTCAAACCTCATCCAGTCCAGTGTCCAGCTCAGGGCCACCCATGATCTCATCAGCTAAAATCTCTGTGACCAGCTCCAGGGGAAAGGAGCACTTGGCCGTGAACGACTCAGTCCACTCCGGGAGTCCCAGCAAACAGCCCAAAAGCTCCAGCCGCTCGCGACGTCCGCTGGCAGTGCACACCTGCAAGACCAGGCTCTTGGACTTGGCTGAGCCCACCACCTGGCTCAGAGGCTCCAGCAGAACCTACAGGGATGGATGGGGAAAAAAAAAAAACTATCAACGATAGCTAATCCAGGCTGAGTGGAACCTAACAACCCTGCAGATAGACAGAGATACTCAATGAAAGAAAACTCTCTAACTCACAAATTCTACTCACATGTTCTATGAGCAACAGTGAAGAGCCAAATTGTCACACCACAAACACGAGGACAACAACAATTCTGTGAAGATGTTCTGCACTCCCATAGACACAATTTAGATCATTTAGAAGGCAAGTTTCAACCCTGCCAGTTAGGGCCAACCCAGGCAGAGTGGGATACAACGTCCCAGTTGAAAGACCGAGATTCTCTATAAAAATTCTCCTTCCCACAGGAATCGATTCCGGGTCTTCTGCGAGCGACCGCAAAGCCATAACCACTACACCATAGATGCCGGTGGTACAACAACATCAAGTGCCATTCTTACATACACAAATGCATGCACGCACGCACGCACACACACACACACACACACACACACACACACACACACACACACACACACACACACACACAAAGCAAAAGTCAAACCTGGTTGCCAATGGCTGTGGCTATCCTGACTGGCAACGTGAGTAGTATGTCTGTCACAAACTGAACTGCCAGGTTCATAACAAGAGGGGAATCTTCGGCGGGTGGACCTCCTGAAATAAGCAAGAAATATCAGTTGACCGTGACTTATTCTGAATCGTCATATACAAGTGAGACAAAGCGGTGAATGGGTAACAACACGTCAGTAATGATCAGGAAGGGATTTTACTTGCCCCACTTTACAAGGGACGAAAAATACAAACAAAAAAACTCTTGAAAAAATCAATAATTCATCCTTCATAGAAATAAATGGAAAATCAAGACCCTGTATTTCCATCACAAAGAGGTGATCAAGGCCCCAAGATCTGGAATGCTTTGCCAAATAGTCTAAGAGAGATCAAATCCTTTGATTCATCCAAATGTCTGCTGAAGCCATTTTTGTTTCTAAATTAATAAGATGAATATTTAGAGAGATTTTCTTTTTGTCAAAAATTTTTATGTTACGGTTATATTGCATTGTAACGCACTCAGAGCCTGTGTACTTTAATCGGGGTTGAGCGCTATATAAATGTCATTTATTATTAGTAGTATGACCAAGTGACTATTCAGTAAAACTCAAACTCTACAAAATAAAAAGATTTTCTAAAAGTGATTGCACATTTTTATTCCCCGAAAATTTCATTTCCAAAAACAACAAAAGAAAAAGGAAAGAAACCCCAAATTTTTGGCCTCAGCAGGTCTCAAACAAAAATGATGAGGAAAAACCAGATGTGTTCCCCTAGCTGGTTTGGGTACTTTTGGAGAACACACTTGGACAGAGTACAGAAGATTTTTCCCACACTCAATCTTCTCCCAGAGGCATAAAAGAAGGCCATGTGGGCTTGTTGTTGTTTTTTTTTTGTTTGAGTAAAGAAAAACACATTGGTCATTTAGTGGTGAGGAAAAAACCAAGCAAGACAAGACAAAAACTAAACAGGAAAAGCAAAGAAGTAGGACCTACCAATGGCACCCTTCAACAATTTACGTCACATGGGTTCATAGTTCAAGACAGTGAGGGAAATGAGAGGAAGAAGGCACAAGAACATACCACCAACCCTGAGAGTGTACTTTGAGTATATGTTTTAAGATAATATTGACACAACTGTGAATGTACTGACAGAGTGTGTGCTTGTAGAGAGAAGCATTGCACGTCATGTGATTACGTCACTTACCTGGTGTGTGTAGCGACGGAGAGCGTGCGTGAAGAGAGAAAAGCTGCGTAGTCACATGATTGGCCAGTAATGCCAGAGGTGTGCTCTCAAGACCTCCGTTGGCCACAATGATGGACACCAGGACACCGGCAGAATGGACAGCATCACACGAGTCCAGGGCACTCACAAAATCAGCTGGGTTGCTGCGTGAGGTTAGTTTCAGAAGCTTGCCTGGCTCCACTTCCAGAGCCATGAAATCCGAGACAGCCGTCTTGTTTCCACCTGGATTTTAGAAAAGTATCTTGAGTAATATATAACTTCCTTAAGAAAAAAAAGTCCAACAAAGAACTGCATGTACTGCAAATACAGACAAATGGCTTAACTAGCTAAAAGCATGGTTCCCATAGCCTTAAAATGAAATGTGTTGGAGAGTAGGAGAGAGAAGTCGACAATTTCCACTCTGCACTGGCTGTTTTCTGCACCTAAGGTAACAGAGGCCACGACATCTAGAATCACTTAAGTCATAATTGTTAACATTGGCAAAATTATGCATTTCTGGTCAAAAAGTTAATCTGTAAGCTCTGGCACTCATATCACCATACATTCACATACAAAGCCACCCAGCAGCACTGGAAACATGGGTTCTTGTGACTTCGTGACCCATTTTACAAGGCATTTAAAGTCACTGAAGTTTACTACAGGACAAGTGTTTGTTCTCCACATACATACTGTTGGGGGAAAACATCATGCTCTAATTTCTAAAGCAACAGTTTGAGCCTTGATAGGAAACAAATATTTTATGCAATATTCCAATAATCTTTATTTTGGATACATGTTAAAAATGTTTCACTTCATCACTGTTGACTTTGTTACTGTGAGAGATTAGCAATGCCAATCGGGCTTTCCAGCGCGGCTAAAATTTGGTCCCCGTTTGCGGGTGAATTTTTGGACCGGGTCATAGCGTAGGTCTGCTCTATTTCTAGACCAATGAGAATGAAACTCGGCAACCAATCAGAAAATAGGGCAAACTAATGATATGTGGACATTGATGTTCGTACACATAAATTAACCTGTACTTTTGGTGTCAGGAACACTTTCGTATCGGGTGTAGCAAAAACTATACGGAGCTTGAATTTCAACATCGAGATGGTAATAGATCTATCTTTCCTATATAGTGTGATCAAATTTGAATGTTCTGTGTCAAGTAGTTGTTTAGACCCGATCATAAATGCACGACTACCCCCCTATCCAAAGCAGCTTCGCACAGAGACTGGCCATTTTCCCCTCACTCTCGCGGCAAATGTATGTGACCTACAAGTCCCCGCATGACTATTCCGAGCCCGTTCATTGGTCACTTGAAATAAGGCAATGGTGGGCGCGCGAATCCGGTTGTTTTTCTCTCTGTTCTCCTGTAACATCACAATGGGGGTATTCCAAGGCCAGCTTATCTCGCCTCGGAGTGTTCGCGTCTCAATGCATGCTAGATTGAATTAACTTATCTTTTAAGGTTGGCATGGTCTAAAGTTATCAAAGAAAGCTTTGCCATTATTTAGTCACGCTGCCAACATATTCTTAAAGATCCCAAGTTGTGATACGATGCTATAAATAAAATGGACTCATCCCATCACCTCTTTTTCGCAAAATCATAATATGTACACCAAAATTTTAATTATAACAAAATAACTACGAAATGGTTAGTAAATCTGACGGCAGAAATTATTTCTCCACCCAAAAACACATCAGGAAGCCAAATTTCTTTCTAATTGTGAGATATCGTCGATTATCTTACAGAATCTGCTACTGCATGGTCCACGGTTTAGGAGTATTTTCCTTTATGTGGGTCATCTATATTTTGCCGACCTTTACAACCCAGTACCTTTTTTATTTATTAACCGATTCATTTATTAACCGATTCATTTATTAACCGATTCCTACATTTCAAGAAGCATAATTCTTAGAATTGAAAATTCTTTCTTAGGTACCAAATAAAAAAGGGCTAAAGCGAAAAATTAAATGTTCATTGGCATTGCTAGATAGATGGGTGACATGGGGGGAAAATGGGATAATATAGTCGTTTTGAGCAGAGAGATGACAGGTGACCCAAAGTCTGCTTCTAATTTGGCTCTTGACAAAAACATCAAATACAGTTCCCCTATTGATTCTCACCTTCTAGAGGCTCCTTGGTTTGCCCGCCATACTTCTGCACAAAATCTCGCAAGGGCCCGTGCTGTGGCTGGAACACCAACTTCCAGTGGCTCCACTCCGCCATGTCAGTCAGCAGAGGGCAGCGGGTCAGGCACGCCAAGGCCGCTAGACGACTTTGACTGCCTTGGTTCCCAACAGCATTGCTGAGGCTATGTGTGCTGGGACTGGGCAACAGATCAAAGAAAAAAAAAGAAATTATTTTCTCCAAAATGCAAAGAATTTAACTCATTCAGTTCTACTAATGAGAATTCTTGCAAGGTTAGTTTCTGCCTGTGTGAGTTTGACAAGTATTCTCGCAAAACCCCTATTGTCTCTTTATGAAGCTGAAAGTTAAATAAAAGGATGGTGCTGCCTTTATCTACAGTCACATGAGTACATTAAAGGAAACACACCCTAAATATGTTTAGGTTCTTTTACGGTGTCATTTTGACAAATAACACTCAGAAATTACTTTAAAAAGCAGAGAAGTGCATAGTTTTTTGCTCAACACTGAAAAGGCTAAGTGGATATGAGAGAAAGATGAACAGTTAACAAAATGGAAACTACTCGAGTCTGAGGACCTGAACAATACTGAAAAGCAAATTTGTACTCAAGTTTCCAGTGGTAATTAGTCATGCCAAATAAAAAAGTTTTATCAATATTAACGCCTTCAAATAATATTTAATCAGCACATAATGCCAGAAAAAAGCAAGAGTGTAAACAGGACGACTCCAGGAAAGAGAGAAGAGACGCCAGAAACACCTCAGAACATTTAATGCTCAATCTATACAAAAAATAGATGTCAAAGCTTAACAAACAGTATTGGTATTGCTACTTGAAACAACCTGAACTCCATATTATAATCAATAAACACAGAGATGCTTTTTTCCTAAATCAAAAGAGACACAAATCTATACAGTTCTAGAATACTTTTGAAAAAGAGGAAGCTATGATATGAAAATCATTTTTGAGATGCAAAAATGTAGAGACATTTATATTATATGGCAACACAACAAAATCAGGCAATTGTTGCTTTCATGTCATTTCAAGGTATCAGTCAAAACAGATTTTTTTCAAAACCGCGTGCATCTAAAATCCAGGTTTCAGAGACTCTAACCTGGGAACCAAAGCAGCAAAACTAAAATAGATTTCATTTACTCATAAAGCTGGAACAGATATTTAATTTGATACTCAGTGTAAAATTATCAAAATGCAAAATGAACCACATTTCATGAGGTAGCTACACATTTAGAATGGAAGTCTTTTACCTGGATTTCCCACACAGAGCGGATTCAAAGTGCGTATGGTACACACTGGCTGCGTGTTTTCCTGGTTTTGCCGCCGCGTTACACAGACGTGACACGTTGCCATGGCCAAGGTGGCGCACATCTGTCACATGGTACTGTTCACACAACGCCCTCTCCACCTGCTGGTTCTGTGCCGTTAGAAGAAAATAAATGAGAAAATATTATTTAAAACTGTCCCAAAAAGTCTTGGAAAGTTGTCAGAATAATATTAATAATAATATTAACAATAATAATAATAATAATAATAATAAACAGCATTTGTATAGCGCATACCCCCGCTCAACAGCAAGCTCTCTGCGCTTTACACTATATTATTACTCATAGATATGCAATGTTGCTGTTCATGATTTCAGTAAAAGAACCTACTGCTAGTCTTGTATCTCTGCCAATCCAAGGCTCACAAGACTTCATAAAAACTCCCCTGGTTTTGCCTTCCAATTTACCATCTTAATTCACTGAGGACACACATTCTGGTCATTCGACAAAACTTGAAGACACACTGTTTTGGTGCATAGTTTCATTATTAATACATATTTTTCCATTGTACTGTCTTTATTTGAAACTTAAAAGGAACACAATAAAATATGCAAATTCATTTTCTGATTTGTGCATGTTGGTTCAAATTGTGCTGTTACATTGCCTTTGGTCAGCTACTGATCAGACATGTGTCCAGTATGTCCTCAAAGAGTTAATACCCAAAGATTGAAAAAAATTGTAAGTTGAGCATAGCTGCCAGAATTGGCTCTCAGCTCTCAGAACTCAAAATGCAAAGAATATATCCTTGATTTAAAAATATAGAACAGCCAAAACATTTTTTTGCATATGTATCTTAATTTCTTTTCAAGTATTCATTATACAGTTGAAAAGACAGCATATACTCTCCAATGAAGAAAATTATATGTTGATCAGAAACAAAGTAAAGATAGAATTTCAGAAGCTCCATAAAGAAAATGGCTAAAAACAGCAGAAGTAGGGAGAGACAAATGTTCAAAAGGATACAGAAAGTATAAGAGTACAGGAGTTTCATGAGGAGAAGGCCAGCACCTCACCTGCACTGATCCTGCCTTCCTAGCCTGGCAAACAAACTCCAGAATCTCCAGCTGGGACGGCAAGAAGTTGGCAGCCCCATCATGACCTCCACCTTGACCCAAAGATGTACCTCCACACTCATCCAACAGCTGAGTTTACCAAAGGAGTCATATCAATTTTTGTGTCATTTGTTTATTTTTAGGTCACAAATAGACAGTAAAGATAATCTATACTTATCTTTTTCTGAAACCTGGTTCATTTTTGTTTATTCTTCAACATAAACAGCATAAATCACTGAATATAACACAATACAAAGCATATCACCACCAATTTAAAGCTACAAGAGCAGCAATCTGTTTCGAACTATGTTGAAGATTGACCTGTCTTACTCCTGTGATGCACCCTGACAACTATCCATCTAAATGTCATCTTACCGACATCGCTTGATTTCATTCATGAAGAATGTAGGCTACTAACCACATAACCCTCCCAATAAATGAGAACCCCCTGATGAGTTTACAGAAAAATACTAAAGCTATACAAAAAAAAGGTCAGTCAGCTTAATTTTCAGGAGAATTAACTCACAAGACAGCTTAATTTAGCAAACTGATATGGTGAAGGCTTTCTAATTCAGCATTACAAAATACGTTTAAAACCAACAAACTTACAGCTTTCACTTTCTTTTCCGTAATGATGAAGTCCAAAAAGCTGCCATATCCCATCTCATGGAAAGTTTGAAAACGGAAATCTTCTTCCAGCAGTCTGGTTTCAATCCTCTGCAAATGGTTCAGCTGCAAGGTCCCGTGCTCGATGCAACGGTTGATGTACAGGATGACCTTGTCAGTCAGAGCAGCTGGAAGAAAAAAATATATAAACTGAACCTCACATTGCAGAAAGGATAAATAATTGCTGCTGGTTACGTTCAAGGTAAATTATTCTTCCACTCAAATAACATACTCGATAACACTCTAAAGGAAATAGAAAAAAAAGTACAACTTAGGTACATCTTCTTCACACCATAAATGTCTGCTGAAGCCACTGTACACCATAACCAGAGTAAAAACCATGGGGGTTGTCTCTTTCCATGATCTCAAGCACTAACCATCAAACTCCTAATACTGTGCCGGCCATTAGACCATACACCAGACAATCATGGGACCAAAGCATCTTTATCCAACCAGCAGTTCAAAGAAAACTAGGCGTTTTTTTTAATCTCCTGTATAAAGTATGTCTCCAGACCAAATGTTTTGTGCTCAAGGCCATCCATGCTTGGAAAGGTGGAAAAAACAAAATTGTATACATTAAACGCCCCTTGTAACATTTTTAGATTATTTAAGAGGTGGGACCTCCGAATTCAACATCCATCTCCGATAGAACCAAGCCAAATGGGAAAATTAGTGTAAAGTGCCTTTCCCTAAGAGACAACTTCAGACCAAACCCGCAATCTCACAAATACAAGTCCAGTAGCCTCACCACTAGACTACCAATGCCACAGAAAGGTGGCACTGCTACCTAAAGTCAGGGTTACTGCCATGGACTCCCCACCCAATTCAAGGAGATTTCAAGGAGAAATTTTTAAAAATCAAATAGATTCGGTCAATAAATTCATGCCTTTTTCAATGGCGCACTCGCACTCCGAAAGCCTATTTCCGATAGACCTACATTTGTCCGAAAGAAATCGTAGTTTCGATTGTCAGACAAAAATGTCGTTCATGTCCGACCCAGCGAAATTCAAGGAGTTTTCAAGGAGGCTCCTCAAATTTAGGGGGTTTACAAGGAGATTTTTCCTTGATTTTTCAAGGACTCCTTGAATTCAAGGAGGCTGCAGAAACCCTGTAAAGTAAAAAAAAAAAAAAAAAGAATGAACAACCTTTGGTAGGAGGTTGCTTTTTCTCAGCCATGACATTGGCTTCCTGTCTGTGAGTCTGGGCCTGCTGTTGTTTCTCTGCCTCCTGAGCCATGAACTCGGCGGCGCTGTCTTGCACCTCTGTGTTGGACAAGCAAATAGCCAGGTGGAACACCATGCGTGGCAGCGGCAGCCCGACAACGCTCTGAGAGAAAAAGAAAACATGTTACTTATGAATTCTACTTATTGAAGAAGAAGCAATAAAGTTCAATCCTTCTAAACACTGTAATTTTTAGTTACTTTAAAAAGCCTAGCAAATGAAAGGAAGCTCTGGATTTTTTTCCAATTCATTTTGCAATTCCTTTATCGATACAAAATAAATTTCATGTATGCCCACATGTCTTCTTATCAATCATATAAACAAATAACAGAATGCTTCAACAATACAGCCTCTCAGCTTCAGTTGTTTACATCAGTTTGAAAGAGTGAAGTTAAATTTTGTTGCCCACTGCACATTTCACAATTAATATGTTGCTCACTTTTAAAAAGCTCTGAAGAGAGACGAGTCTTTCTTCGGTAGAAACTCCAGGTGAAAAGAATGGAATACTTAGACAGTTAAATACTACTTAACAATCAATTAAAAATAGATTTTAAAAAGATGCAAATGACTTGGACATGTCCTTCAACGGTCCCAAACTCTTTCCATGTCATTATGCAATAAAGCCAAACAGATGCCCAGAGATGCCAACCACAGAAAACCGAAATGAGTATTGGGAAATATGAAAATGTGTATTTTCAGGGGAAAATGTGTATTCCCCACTACCGACCAACTAGTAATAGTAAAATGTTCAGGGTGTCCAGCAATATTTCCTGGAAAAAAATTACTAGCTCACCAGCTCGAAAAAGGGAGCACACACACGTACAATATACACATATCCAGTCAACAACACGTCAGTGTTAAATGTCGTACTGTGGTCTGGTTTGACTTCAGTATTTCAGTCTATTATATACCAGTAACATTTTCCTCTCATTATTATATAAAAAATAAATCCTGTTTTGAGAGTTGGAAGGGCCTTGAACAAAAATTTCGACTATCAAGAACCAGTCTGGGTGTCATGATTCATAATATGAAGTGACAGACTCAAATTATTGCTCAAACTCAGAGAAAAGCAATAACTTGAATGGCCCAATTAAGTAGACCCACGCACTGTGAGAGTTGTAACAACTGTGAGCGGGCAAGATGCAGTGACACTGAAAATCCCCCAGTCTTGAACAGAAAGCTACAATTACATCACTGTAGGTATAATTTACTACATGTATTACCCATCCAATGAAACGCGAACACTTTATTTCAATAACACAGACTTGCAAAGTATGAAAGGTCCCGACTTCACACACGGTCTGCACCAACGCGCGCTTTGCAGAAAGCTCTAATCAAAATTCTGAAATGTGCTTCCAAGTTTTTTGTCCTCTGGTGTTGCCTTAAACCCCCCCCCCCCCCCCCCCCCCAAAATATTTTTTTTAAAATCAATAATCTCCTCCCCTATTCCGTAGTCCTATACTTCGCAACGCACGGCGTTACTCCCACCAAAGACGGTGTTTACTCAATACGATGCCGCATTTATTTATGACGCGAATGCGCGCATGTTCAGTGACCGGTCACGATGGCGAGCCAGACAATCTAAAAATCAGAAGACGCTTGTATTTTTTTTTTTTTTTTTCCGCAAGTGACAGCACGGAGATGAGTCCCGAGCATTGAATAAATTTTATTTGCACAGCGACATTGCGTTTATACTGCACAACCTGCATGTCACAAATGTTGTGTTATCAGACAACTGCTGGCAAACTTCTCGGTGGTAACGAAAGCGAAAGTAGATCTTGATTTTCCCGATCAAGCCTCGGTGTTACATACGCTTCCGCCTGCCGCCATAGCTGCCCATTCGACTATCTTTGTTCGCGTGAAAGTGAAAAGTATCCAGACGTGGAAAAGCTGAACGAATATAATATCACGATTGCGACCGGCAAACATGAACTTACTGACCTTATCCGACTTGGTTTTCAAATTCCAGTTCTGCGATACTGATACTATTTTGACAAAAGATGGGACTTGAGAAAATTAGGTTTACTCGCCCAAGCTGAATCTTGTATTTTTCGCATTCCATGATGCATATTTTTTCATGAAGAGTCGTATTCGCGTATTTTCGGCAAAAAATCGTACTTAAATAGGTAAAATCATACTGGTTGGCATCCCTGGATGCCTATAAAGATTAAATGAAAATAGGAGATAAATGAAAGCTTTTAAAAAAGGGAAGACTGAAAATACAGCACACAAGGAAACAAAACACAATGTTACTGTATCTATCCATTACAACTAAGAATTTAGCAAGAAATCCTGAATCGACAGCAGCGCCAAAAAAAAAAAGAAATTTTGTCAGTATGAGCAATTAATATTCAGAAGGAAACATCGCAGAAGGGGGGAGTAATTTCAGAAAAACCTCCCACACCCACCTGCACAAACTGTTGAAACTGCCTGGCAGACTTCAGGTACTTGCGGTAGTCTGGCCCGGACTCTCCCACAAACAGGTGCAGCAAAACCTCAAACTTGGAGTAAATCTCCTGCAGGGCAACCTCTGGCTCCAGGTTCATGTAGTGTTTTCTCAGCTCCTGAGACCCATCGCTGGCAGTCTACAATATAACGTTTCAGATCACTTGCCTATCAATGGCAGTCTATGACATAATATTTATTTAGACCCCTTACCTGTTATAGACGGCAGTTTTCAACATATCTTTATTATTTCAATGGGAAGAAACTATACGCAAACAGAATAAACAATTACATTAGGAAAAATACAATGCAACTCTGTATTTGGATTCAACTTGAACATGAAGCAAACATATATGAGTAATTAATTTCACTGAACACACTCAATTAACTTATTGTTTACACACCCATTTCACACAGTATGCAGGACTGAAGTGAATTTGGAAAAAAAACAGAAGTGGGCTTCAGAAGTCATGTACAGTACTTAACGTACATAATAACACACATCAGTATTTCTCCTTTCATAGTAGCTATGGCTCAAAAGTCAAGGAATTCATTATATGAAAGTTGGTAGTCTCATCATGACCTTCACCTTGACCCATGGACATACCCCGACACTCATTGTACAATGTTTCCAGTATTTTATCATTTGTATAAAAAAGAAAGCACACATCACAGACAAGCGATTACAAGGCTTTGCTACCTGCATGACGGAAGTTCTGAACTTGTAAAAGCACTCCTGTATGTCAGTGTACAGCAATTCTTTCAGGCGCTCCATCACCATTCTCCTTGTGGACCCAGCATCCCTCTTAGATTTCTTCAAAGTCTGGGGGAAAAAATACATAAAAGAAGAGACCCTTTTATTTGTTCTTTACCGAAATGTCTCCTATTATCATATACAAAGGCTAAACAATCTTGATATGCAAAGCATGGAAAGAGCAAAACTACAAACTCGTACCATTAAAACAATCGATAGGTGTGCATTGGTTTGTTTTTGAGGAGAAGTTAAAGTGTCTTGTTTAAAGTATACACCCCAAAGATCGCTCACTTAAAGCCTTCCTCACTTGATATTCCTCAACATCTTTGCCAGACTGACTCTACTGCCACTTTGACCACTGAAGCCGCCAAAATATACATGATTTTTCTGTCAAAGAACTAGTCGGGGGTATACAACCAAATATTGTTTGAAGCAGTTGCCTTGAATACATATTCATTAATATTCCTAATGGCTTCACCTTACTTTGACGCAAAATCTCAAGTGTCAAGAAAGTTTCACATTTTATGGAAAACATTTCGTCAATAAATAGTCTATTTCTGAACAAGAAATAACTTTCGTTGGCTGAGAGTCAAACGTCACATAATTCATTAGAAGGCAATTAATATCCAGGGCTGAGATGTACAAATAAACAATAAATGTGTTTGTGAGCAGCTCACTTGAATGGCCAGTGGCAAACTGCGGATGCGAATGCCTAACGAGTAAGCTCGTTCCACTTCGTAGACTTCTGTGGTGAGGTACTCCATGAACTCTGTGAGGGTCACTTGCTGCTGCCACTTGTTGTAGCGGTCCAGGAAGTTGTTCAGGTTTTCCATCAGGTCCTGGGATGTGATCTCCGGAATGTACTCGTCCTCCGGGAATTTGAACATGTCAAACCTGGAACAGTTTCACTTGTTGATTATTCAAACTCCTTTTATTGACTTAAAGTAAGGCATAGTTCTTCATTCAGAGAACAATTTCACTTTCCTCTCTGTTATGTTTCCTGGAGCTTCCAATTATGTTCCATGTCAATGAAATTTAGTTTGAGCTTTGCGCAGCTGTAAAATTTCTAACAAACAAGTCATTCTCAAAGGTAAAGACCTGAATAAGCGCATAAAAGAAAAAAGAAATATCATCCAACGGCCAAAATCCTTCTATCACCTAGGTATCTATCCAGCAAATTAAACAATATCACAATACAACTCACACTACAGGCATCTTCTGCAATGGGCCTAACTTGAGAAGCTCAAATTCCTTTTTCTCTGAATGAAACTCCCGAAGACACTCGTGAAGCTCGAACAGCGTGCATGTGGACCGACTGCGCACAAAGTTCTGCACATACGAGTTCACCTTGCTCAACATATTGGAGTGGTCCTTGCCAGCCGGCAGGAACACGAAACTACACTCTCGCAGCCTCAGATCCTGGAACCTGTGCACCTGCGGGGAAATGGGAAACTTTCTTAGTAAAACTTTATTAATTCAAGATGGAAAAAAGACTAACAAAGAATATCTGGATAAAGGTTACAATGGAGAAGAGGTCGACAAAGAATAAGAGACATCATAGTAGTATATGGCTGGGCAAATGAGTAGCAGTAGCAGTAGTGGAAGCATTAACAGTAGAAACAAGGAGAAGAAGAGAAAAAAGAAGAGAAAGAAAAAGAGGAAGAAGAAGTTTAGTTTTAGTTTTAGTAGAGGTTTTACGGCGCTCGCAACTGCATAAGGTCATATGAGTGCCAGAAGATTAGAGGTGTTACAAGAGAGTAACAAACATACAAAAAGAAGAAGGGGAGATAAGGACGATAGATGTTTGATAGGGAAAGAAGGAGCAAACCACACCAGAGCACCCGCCAACCACCCACAAGGGAGGAGGAGGAGGAGGAGGAGG